GCCCTGTAGGTCCTACAGGCAAGACTGCTTGTTTAATATGCAGACTCTTGTTCAAAACCTAAAGACATTCCAGATGGTGAGAGAGGAGCACTAAACCAGACCTGGGCCTAGGGCTCTTCTGGGTGTGAGACCCTGTGTGAATGCTGGGGACACTTGCCCGGGAATCTGGTTTTGCTCACAGCTTTGCCATGGGCCTCTTTCTCACCACTTCCTCTACTATCTTTGCCTTTATCTTTCTTTTGCTCTACTTTACTCCATTGGCCTCCTGGCTCCTCCTCCAATATAAACTCTCTCTCACCTTGCTGCCTTCAGTACTCAACCTTTTCTAGTTCCTCTGCCTGGAGCTTTTCCAGATACCCCAACTTGCTCCTGATTCTGCTCGAATGCCAAATTTTCATGAAATCATCCCTGATCATGCTATTTTAAATGTCAAGTCACTGCCTAACGTCCTCTCACATACACATTTTGCCCTCCTTCTCCCAATTCCTGGTTATTTACTCCATCATGTGAATCATCAAGGTGTGTTACCTTTTTCTTCTAATTTTTAATTTATTTGAGGGACAGAGAAACAATGACACACAGAGACAGAGGGATCTCTCATCTACTGGTTCACTTCCCAAATGCCTGCAATGTCTAGGACTAGGCCTGGCTGAAGTAGGGAGCTGAGAACTCAACCCTGCTCTCCACATGAGTGACAGGGACTTACCTGTTAGAACCATCACTACTTCCTTCTAAGATCTGCATTAGCAGGAAGCTGGATTGGGAATCCAGGGCTGGGCACTAAACCCAGGCACACCAGTGTGGGACTGGTGTCTTACCCACGAGATCAAATGTCCACCCCATTTGTTCTTAAATAATTTATTTTTTTCTGTGTGTATTTCCACTAGACGATAAACTATTTAGGGCAGAGATTTTTGTCTTTGTTATTCAATACTGCCTCCAGTGCCTAGGACAGAATAGATGATCAATAAATCTTTGTTGAAGAATGAATAAGCCAATGGTTAGTAGTAATTAAATAAGTATTCACACAACCATGTATGATTAAATCTGAGCTATATGTGGGGAAGGTAATCCAATTCCATGAATGACTATAACTCTGACTAGAAAGAGACTGGGGAGAGGAAAAGTGTTCTGGATACAGAAATGGCATAAACAAGGGGTTTATGAGCTTAGGGAACAACAAATTCTTGAGGTGCTGAGAGAAGAACGTAGCAGCAGGAATTCACAGAGAAAAAGCAAAGTAGGAAAAGATGAGTCTGGATATGTAGGTGAGATGTGACCAAGCAGGCCATGCTGAAGCCTGGACTTGATTCTAAGTATAATGGAGACCCACAGTGGGGCTGTAAACCAATAGGCACACAGAAAAGAAAGCAAAGACCATCCTAGGTTCATAGTGGAGAACACTTGGGGACTTTTGGGGTGGATTCAGGGAGCCTAGTGAGGAAGTCTTTTTCCAGGGTGAGATCAACAGGGTGATAGTTGAGGGTTGCTTCGATGACAGCAATGGTAGACAAGATAGAGAAAGTCAGGCTGATGGAGTTGCTATTTAGGTGGTAAATACACCAGATTTGGTTACTCGAGACTTCTGACAGAATCTGAAGCTCACTTCGAAGAATGACTCTTGGAGATGAAATGAGATACCTCCTTGAATACAACAGAAAGGACAAGATGAGAGTTGCTGATGTTGAGCACTTTGCACATTTGGTAGAAGGAAATTTAGGGACAATCACATTAGGGTTTTAATTTTCAGTGTGAAATATGAGGCAAGAATATTCCCCATCTCTGAGGAGGGCCACTGGTGTCTAAGCAGACAGCTTGGTAGGAGATTTCAGGATGGAGAAAAGGACCTGAAAGTTGACTCCTCCAAAATATAGTAAGGCAATAACATGATTTTAGAGCCCACTGGAGACTGCTGATCATGAGTGGTATTGTGTAGTCTTTCATTTTCCCAGCATTATTTGTTTACCTTGGTGCAGACATATCAAGAGAACCTGGTTGGGGGACCCCAAAATGGGATTTTTCTAGGTGTACATGATAAAAACTAAAAGCACTTAGGGAATTGGCAAGCATTGTTGATATAGTGGGCACAGAATGGCATTAAGATAGAGAAGTGAAGAATAGACAGACTGCTGGATTGGGAGAAAGTGCAGCAGTTAATGGGTTAAGGGTGTTGGGACCAGTCTTGGCAATAGCAGCAGAACAAGCACATGGGGGAAATACAACAGGGAACTGGAATCGGAAATTTCGACAGTGAAGTTCTGGATGGCACATCTCTTTGGTGACTGAGGAAGAAAGTGTCTGAGGTAGAAAGCAGGATTCTTAGAAAGAGGAAGTCAAAATGCTGAGAAGCCATAGAACATGGGATAAATTGTCCATGGAGAAGGCAATGCTACTCAGGCCAAGACCAGAGGCAAGGGATGGTATGGCCAAGAGTCGGTGATTCTAGACAGGAGAAGAGGACAGTCTGGTCATAGGGCAGGAGCCTCACAGCAGACTTGCTGTTGTCCTTGTTGTTTTTACAGGAAAGTTGAACGTGGCAGTAGGGAGCAAGGAGGAAGCTTAGCTCATCTGAGAGGGATGCTGTGGAAGCAGCAGCCTCAGGGGCTTTAGATAAGGGAAAGAGTGAGCTGAACCGGATGCTCTAAAAGAGGAGGGTTGGGGTAAAAAGGAGTTTGCTTGTATTGAGGCAGCAGCTTTGGGGTCTGTTGCAGTTGATTTCTTAACAATGTTGCAGTGGATTCGTGGAGGAGCGTGGTGGGGGCAAGAGGCGCAGAGTCAACACACAGACCCCGGGAGTCGGGTGGAAGTGGGCTTGAGGCAAGCAACCCGCAGACTCATTTATTTCAGTTAATACAACAGCTTATATAGCCAAGATCAGCCAATCCAGTCAAGGGGTGGTCTATGCCCCAACCAATCACAGTCTGTTGCCAGGCAGGCTCCGTTGCCAGGTGGGTTTCAAAGCCATTCCTGAGTAACTGATGCTTGCTTGCCAGCAGCCATCTTGGCATGGCCTTCTCATTCCACCACAGGGGTCATAGTGGCAGTGTTTGGGAGGTGATAAGAAAGCTTTGCAGAATCTGGGGCAAGACGATACAGCATGCTGTGGGCATGATGGTGTGGCAGTAGCAGGCTCGCCAGGGTAGCTTACACTTGGGTGTTGACTGGTGATAATTGGAGATGAGGGACATGGAGAATAGGTAGTAGGCTCAGAAGTCCGTTGGAGGAAGGTGGCCTGGACCTAATGATTAAAGATCTGGGGGGTGAGTTCCTTGCAAGTTCCTAGGTAGATGCTGAATTCTGGGCCTGCACAGCTCTGAGCAGCAACTTCTTGGAGGTTGATGCTATCTTTCTTTTTAAAAAACTTGTTTATTTACATGAAAGGCAAAGAGAAAGAGGCTTTTCACCTCTGGTTCACTGCCCAAAAGCGGACAGCAGCTTGGCCTGGGCCAGGCAGAAACTGGGATTCAGGAACACACTCTGTCTCCTACATGGATGGCAGAGACCCAAGTATTTGAGCCATTGTCTGCTGACACCCAGGGTGTGCATTGGCAGAAAGCTAGAATCAGAAATGGAGCTTGGACTTGAACCCAGACATTGTATTATGGTATGCAGGAGTCCTAAGTGGCATCTTTATCACTGTGTCTGGCACCTGCCCCTGGTGCTATATTAATGAGTAGAATGGAGGAAGCCCTTAATTTTCTCTAAGATATCCTCCACTTTGTATCTATGGGCCTAGTAGACTGGTTCTCAAGCCAAGTAGAGTGGGCCAGTCCACTTTCTTCTTGGATAGCATACTCTGTTTGGTCACCTGAAATCTCTCCTAAGACCTCCCATGCCTTTTTGATTCTTGACTCACACTCATGACCTGCACTTAGAAGGTGCTGGAAAACTCCCCAGTTTGAAGCCAGATTTTGAGATTTTACAAACTCGGTTACTTTGGACAAGCTACTTAACCTCTTTGAACTTTAAACTTTATCTTCCTTAACTGCAAAATGGACATGATAATGACTCACAGTGTCGTCACCAGGATCCAATAATATAATTAACCTAACGCACAGACCCTAGTAAGAGACTCAAGGAAATGTACAGCTTCATCCCTCTGTAATTCTCTAAGCTCCAACTGTATGGGACGTTTTCACGCCTACCCTTTTCTCACCATTGTGCCTTTGAACATGCCTGGAGTTCTTTTCCTTTGCTATCCCTGCCTCTGTGGATTTTTTTGCCTTTACCATGTTATTGCTGCTCAACACTTGTCTGTAGGCTTCTGCAGATTTCCTGACTGTTAGCCGGTCTGGGGCACTTCTTGAGTCAGGAGGACTGAAGTGTAATCACGTGTACATCTGCTCCTCTGTCACTCACACACAGCTTCTCCGTATGAACCCTCAACTTATCACCATCAGCTCATGAGCTGGTGGGTCTTCCTCACTGGACTATGAGTGACTTGGGGGGAGAGACACCCCCATTTTCTTCTCTTGAATGTTGTTTCACACTCACCAAGAATTTGCAAAATATTTGTGGAGATACAAACAAGTTACCTCCTATGACTCATGTTTATTCTCCCAGACTTTATTGCCTTTTAAAAGGAGGTAAACAATAAGTAAATAAGGCTCTCAGTTTTCTAATTTCAGATAATGGTCCATACAGGAGGTATTTGTTTGGGAAAGTGTAAGGTGACTTTGAAGAGGGGGCTAGTATTGTTGGTAAAGGTCATCGTAGAACCACTGAAACTGCACTATCATTTTTGGCCATTTTTCAAAAGATTTATTTTATTTATTTGAAAGAGTTACAGAGAGAGGTAGAGACACACATACACTCAAAGAAAGAGAGAGAGAGTAAAAGAGAGAGAGAGTGGCTGCAACAGGAGCTTCTTCTGGGTTTCCCATGTGGGTGCAGGGGCCCAAGGAATCGGGCCACCTTTTACACTTTCCCAGGTCTTTAACAGACAGCTGGATCAGAAGTGGAACAGCCAGGACTTGAACTGGCGTCCACACAGGACGCCAGGGCTTTAACTCACTGTGCCACAGTGCCAGCCCCAATTTTTGGCCATTTTTAACTCCTTCAATTATTATTAATTATGGCCCATCTCATACTTGGTAACACAATTTGTGATATCTTATTAAGGAATTAAAAATATGATCTCTGGTGTTTATAAAGGAAGAGATGTAAGTGCTTGTTCTGATTAGGATATTACAGATGAAAACAATTCTCTGACTTGCAATTTGAAGACAAGCATTATTATTTTACACAGGTGTTGCATGGACTCGCCTCCACTGTCTTCCTGTCTCTGAATATATGTCCATGGCGCTCCAGTAGTTTTCATCAGAGACTGGGAAATAATGGAGCATTTAGCATCATAATGATCCTGTAGAAAACACTGTTATTCAATTTAAATTTAGACAATGCAAATGCAATTAGAAATGTCTGTATATTGCTTAATATTCTTTGAATAAACTAATATTTGTTGAGTTTTTCATAGTTGGACATCTGTTTCAGAATCTCAGTTTTGGCCTTTTCCTGAAAGACTTACTGAAAGTGCTGTAGACTGATTAGAAGAGATGGCATTTACTTCTTACCTAACTTCCTTCCTTCCTTCCTTCCTTCCTTCCTTCCTTCCTTCCTTCCTCTCTCTCTCTCTCTCTTTCTTATTTATTTATTTGAAAGAGTTACACACAGAGAGTAGGAGGATCAGAGACAGAAAGAAGTCTTCCGTCCACTGGTTCACTCCTCAATTTGCCACAACGCCCAGAGCTACGCTGATTCAAGCCAGGAGTTTCCTCCAGGTCTCCCACACAGGTGCAAGGGCCCAAGGACTTGGGCCATCCTCCACTGCTTTCCCAGGCCATAGCAGAGAGCTGGATCTGAAGTGGAGCATCTGGGACTCAAACTGGCACCCACATGGGATACTGGCACTACAGGCAGTGACTTTACTCTCTACGCTACAGTGCTGACCCTTACTTACCTAACTTTCTAAAAATATCTAATAATTATTATTATTTTCTTACACATTTTCTCTTTATTCGTCATGATGTTTTCTCTTTCTTGATGGAAAAAATACTATGCTCATTATTTGTATCTGGAAATGCACATTAGTGTACATATCCCCACATTTTCAATATGTTTTAGTATTTAAAAAACATTATTTTTTATTTATAAGAAACACACAGAAAGATGCTGCAAATATATCGAAAATTTTAAAAAGATTTATTATATATATTTAGAAGACAAAGTGACAGAGAGGGAAAGAAAAAAAAAATCTTCCATCCACTGGTTCACCTTGTCTGAATGGCTATAACAGTCAGGGTTGGGCCAGGCCCAAACCAAGAGCTTGGAACTCCAACTGAGTTTCCCATGTGGCTGACAGGGGCTCAAGCACTTGGGTCATCTTCCACTGCTTCACCAGGCTCATTAGCAGGGAAATTACAGAAGTAGAGTAGCCAAGACTTGAACCTACACTCTGTTATGGGATACTGGTGTTTCAAACAGTGGCTTAACCCACTGCGCTGCAACACCAGCATTGTATGTTGAATTTTTACAAGGAAAGAATTATTATTGTACATAAGCCTGTCTAATTATCAAATTTATAAAGCAATAAAAATAATACGTGTATGTATATAAAGTTAACAGATTGTTTTTTCTTGACCACAAATTTGCATCAGTAGGATCTTCATTTAAACTGAGAGTTCAAGTTTATAGAGAAATTCGGCTACTGGAATATCTTCCCTGCTTGCTTAATGCTCTTAATCTCAGTCTTGGGGAAACATCTGCAGCTGTCTGTGGTCTCTAAATCACAGTTGGCTATAATTGCCCTTGGTTGCTGTTTTTGAAGCCACCATCTTGTTGGTTGGATATCTATGCCTACCCAACCATTTCTATCCACGGCTGAACTTCACTCATGCAAAGTCCTTCTTCTGATATATTTGCCCTATCTTCCAATTCTTTGAAGTAAGTGTGAACTCTTGTTTATGAAACATTTCATACCAGTTACAAGCCACTGTCAAATGTGAGAGGAGACCAAGATGTTGATGTTGAATCAGACAGACACAGTACTGATGTATCGAACCTAGAGATACATTAAGTTTGAAACTTTGGTCTTTTTTATTTTTATGTCTTAAATTATGGCTTTTTTGTTCTTTAAGATGGTATTAGATTTGTGGAAGAATCGGAAGAGAGTCTTACATGTTCTTTGAAGTTAGGAGGTTGAGGTCCTGGGGCAATAGTTTTTGACAGGGTAGATGTCTGAGTACCTGCAGGACTCAGAAAGGAGTGTACCACCATGAGAAGCTGGTAACCTACTTGAGCACCCGGTCAGTAGACAAGGTCAGAGTCAGAGCTCTTTGTTATTTTTTTTCCTTTTAAATATTTATTTATCAGAGCTGGCACTGTGGCCTAGCTGGTAAAGCCGTTGCCTGTAGTGCTGGCAACCCATATGGGTGCTGGCTCAAGTCCTGGCTGTTCCACTTCCAAACCAGCTCTCTGCTGGCCTGGGAAAACAGTGGAGGATGGCCCAAGTCCTTGGGCCCCTGTACCCATGTGGAAGACCCAGAAGAAATTCCTGGCTCTTGCCTTTGGCTCTTCCCAGCTACGGCCATTGCGGCTATCTGGGGAGTGAACCAGCATATGGAAGACCTCTCTCCCTCCCCTCTCTGCCTCTGCCTCTCTGTAACTCTGCCTTTCAAATAAATAAATAAATAAATAGATAGATAGATAGATCTTTAAGCAAAAATATAGATATTTAAGAAAATAAAAATTCATTTATTTATTTGAAGGGCAGAGTTATAGAGAGGCAGAGGCAGAGAAAGTTCTTCCTTACACTGGTTTACTCCCCAAATGGCTGCAGTGACCAGAGATGTGCCGATCTGAAGCCAGGAGCCTGGTGCTTCTTCCAGGTCTCCCATGAAGGTGAGGGGACCCACAGACTTGGGCCATCTTCCACTGCTTTCCCAGCCACAGCAGAGAGCTAGATCTGAAGTGGAGCAGCCAGGACTTGAGCTGGCGCCCATATGGGATGCCAGCACTACAGGTGGCATCTTTACCTGCTATGTTGCGATGCAGCCCCTGACCTTTGTTATTTGTAAAACAGAACACTCAACTATATATGCACTTAAGTTAAATTCTCAGTGCATTCAATTTCTCCCCAGTGTGTCTTCTGCCTTTAGGCTTCTCCCCAGTCCTCCATGCTTTCCTGAACATGTGGCTGCCCTGCTGCTGCTAGCACCGTTCCTCATTCCACTTGTGTTTCTCATAATGGATTTTCTGGGTGGCAGGGTGTTTTCACCATTATGAGATGGTGGGAGTGCAGAGTGGAGATGGGAAGGCTGGCTGCACAGATTCATCTCCACCTATTAACAACTGTATTTAAACACAACTAATGGTAATTACAATGGAGAGCTTCATAAAAAGAGATGAATTTTCAAAAGGTATTCACTGTTATTGAGTATACTAAAGGGAGAAATAATGTACTTATATATAGCTTGAGTATTTCTCAATATACATATAAATAACCTGGTGCTGTTATTAAATTGCAAATTCTGATTCAGTAGATCTGGACTAGGCTGGGAGACTCTTCATTTTTGAAAATCTCCCAAGAGATGTCTGATCTTGCTTCAAACAATGAGTAATAAGGTCTTAGAGGACTTCAAATAATTAATACTATTCTATATAATTGGAGGTCATTTATTTCAGAAAATATGTTATATGTATGTATCTAATTTCTTCCTGACTGGTAATTAGAAATTTATTCCTTGGCCATGCTGTTCATATTTGAATGAGTATTAGGCTTAAGTGGTAACATGTTGAAAGGATGTTGCTTGGTATCCAAAAGAGACAGCTAAATGACAGCTTTTGTAACTGGAATTGCTTGTAGAGTTATTGTTTTCTTTTTCCCAAAGAATGGGATTATGCTACAGTTTAGAGGTGGCTTGTCTTCCCGAAGCTAATGTGCTGGAAGCTTTGTCCTCAAAATAATGATTTTGAGAAGTAGTGGGACTTTTAAGAGGGGTAGCCTAATGGGAAATTATTAGGTCATAGGAAACCATCCTCATGAATGGTTTAATGTCTTTCTGAGACACTGGTTGGTTCTTGCAAGACTGAATTAGATCTCACAGATTTGGATGAGTTATTACAAGAGTGTGTTATTACAAAGCAGATCAACTTCTTGTCTGTTTCTCTCTCATGTGCCTGCTCTTTGCACACCTTTGCTTCCTCTTCCACTTCCCCACTGCGTTGCTGCAACGCAAGACCTTCAACATTAACTGCGCAGGTGCTGGCAACACCCTCTTGGATACAGAGAACTGGGAGTGAGTAAACCTCCTTTGTTTTCTTTTCAGGAGAAATGAATGATGTATTTATTCCAAGAAACATATGTGCCATTGACATAAATTCTTAATTACTAAATAGGACATTTTCAGAAAACTTCTTTTCTTTATATGTGTCAGTATTTTTTATATGTTTCAGCATTTTTTATAGCAACAAAAAGCAGACTAAGACCATGAAATAGAAAAAGTCTTACATTAAGACTTGCACATAAAATAGAACTTACAGAAGGTTGGGACATGCATGAATTTTCATTCCTGAACCATCTTTTCATGGATAATAGATCCTAACTTAATCCCTGCCTTTTAGAACCACTGATTCAGAGCATAAACATACCCAATTTAGAAGACTAGATCACTGGGCCTCGCAAGGATCATTCCATGTAAGATTGGGAAGATTTACTGCTCATTCCATGAATGGCTGCTGCTGTGTTCTCATCCTGGGAGTCCCACCCTATCTGCCTCTGGGAACTCTTGATTTTCACATGAAGATTCATCTTTGATGCCAGGATAGAGGACAATTCCTGGTCACAGAAAATTTGTGTGAGCACTGAGGATAGTGAGCGGCACCATGGCCTTGGTCCTGAGGCTCAGTTTCCCTTTTGATACCATGTACAGTAAGGATCAGAAGTATTTTCCAAAGCCCGTGCCCTTCTAAACTGCACTTCTTCAGAACGGAGGCTCACCTGTTCTTGTTGATCTCCTTCTAGATAGGGAATCCTGATCCTGAGCCCATTGCCAGAGGCAGGATCCCAGCAGCAACAAACATAGGCTTCACCAAATCTCTTCAGGGAACCCTGCGGAATCTGATTCTCACCCATTCCTGGATCCTCCTCACTCCCTTATCTGTGTAGATGATCCCATTTTTTTTTAAAGATTTATTTGTTTATTTGAAAGGTAGAGTTACAGAGAGGCAGAGGCAGAGGCAGAAAGAGAGAGAAGTCTTCCATCTGCTGGTTCACGCCTCAGATGGCCTCAACGGCCAGAGATGGGCCAGGAGTTTCTTCTGGATCTCCCACATGGGTGCAGAGCCCCAAAGTCTTGGGCCATCCTCCACTGCTTTCCCAGGCCATAGCAGAGAGCTGGATCATAAGTGGAGCAGCCAGGTCTTGAAACAGCACCCATATGGGATGCCAGCATTGCAGGTGATGGCTTTACCCTCTATGCCATAGTGCAAGTTCCAGTGATCTCATTATTATTGTTATGTCTACACGTTCTAACAATGGGACCACTTTCCTGGACAGGTCAAAATTTTCCAAGTTCTCTTGAATACTGGGTATTGCTGACAGACCTAGCTCTGTATCTGAACTGGCAGGTGTCAGGGCTCTCTGAGGATCAAGTTCCTTAAAAGGACCAAGTCCTTTAAAAATACTTTTAAAAAAAGTAAGCCTAGGCTCATCTCCCCCAATCTGTTCTTCCCTCCACAATAACCTGCCTCTGCCTGACATCGTCCTGAGACATGGATGCCAAGGAGGTGGACGCTGTGAAGCTTCTGGGTGTCTGATGATGCTGTTACCAGGCAGAAGAGACGTCCTGAAATTGTGAGATGAGAGTGTTATACAAAGGCATTTGTTTTCCATTTGTTTGTTCAATCTCTGGATAGGATCTCAGGCTCAGAATCATGTATTTCTCATTATTGTGAAAATCAAGTTTCTCTTCTTCATACACTATTAACCATCTCTAGAAATGGTTATAGAATATGTGTGTTTGATCAACTGCTGTGTTTTCAGGAAAAAGTGTTCTTTTCTGAAACAGAGGCTTAACCAGGCACTGGCAACTTATCCTTTAGAAATCAAACATTTAGATAGTTTTTGGTTCCTTTAAAAAAGTTATATCTATCCTGGTGACTCATGGGCAAGAATACTTTTCTCACCAATAAAGTGAAGAGGAGGTGATTAAAATACCATCTTTGAGATGACACTGCTGTATTACATTTCATCATTCCAGTGCCCTTGGCTGTGGAGTAATTGGAATAGAAGAAATCAGTTTAAAGATACATTTGCATTAAGTTGCATACATATGATTATTCCCACAAGTTTTGTGATAGTCCAATTTAGGCAGTGTGATCATGTGATGAGAGAGTTTTTGGGAAGTAGACGTCCTCAAATCTCATTGCACCTTATTTTGCCTAGTGGAAAGGCCTATCCTAAACACTTCTGATGTGTGCTTGTCTTTCAGGGGAGGGAAGCTGGACAGAAATAAAAGTCTTGGAGGAAAGGCCAGTGGTGTGTGTGTGTGTGTGTGTGTGTGTGTGTGTGTGTGTTTTAACAAAGCAAGATTTATTGAAGTCAGAAACCTCCTGCCACAGCCAGGAAGTGAGGGTGGAGGGACTCCAAGAGAGGCAGACTCCTGTCAGTAGTGGTTTTTAAGAAAATTATCTGTGATGGTTAATTTGATGTCAATTTGACTGGGCTAAGGGATGCTCAGATGGCTGATAAAATATGAGGCATTAAGTATATCTGTGAAGAGCTTAGCACTTAAACTTGTAGACTGAGTAAAGCAGGTGGCATCCTCCTATTCACTGATAGCTCGACCTATCTATCTACCTACCATCATTATTATCATCTACCATCTCTATATTATCTCCATGGCTTCTATTTCTTGGAAATATCCTAATATAGTCCCACAAGCAATATTTTCACATTTCAAAGTCCCTACAGAAAGCACCATGAATAGGTAAAAACTCGCTCACTTGTATAGGTAAGCAGATGGCATGGTGATTGGTAACAGATTTGGTGAAGGGATCACTCACTGGGTGTAAAGTCTAGCTCTCTCTCTAACTGTTGATAATCCCATCTGTGAAATGGAGATGATAACAGTGCTCACTCCATGGGATTCTTGTGGGGATGAATAGTGCTAATAATGGTAGGCCTTTGAAAAGAGCAGCCCACTTTCTTGCTATTTTTTTACTATATAAAAATCTCAATCTCAAATGGATACCTGTCAGCCTACAAATATGTTCATGTTGCCATATTACAACATCCTGACTTTCTGTGGATTTGTGACTAGTGTCTTGGTTTAAATCTGGCTCAAAATCCTTCTTGTTCTTGATAGAACAACCATTTTATTTGAAAGAAAATTTTTCTGAATTGTTGAAAGCGGGGGAAAGAGTAGTGAGCACAGATTATGGTTGGTACATGTTACACAGCAGCTGGATCAGTGAATACAATGGTAGGTATGCTTTCTGACTTAATCTCCTGGATTTTTCCATACTAAGCCCTAGCTTATGTCTACATTCATATCTGCGTTCAAGATGGCTCAGTTTTCCAAAAGGCTCACCTCTAAGGTAAGATATCAAATTACTGCCTTGAAGACTTATGCTTTTAGTTTTCATACATTATAGTCACTGTTTTCACTGGCAAAAATAATAATTTAAAATAAAAGGTGATTATTTGTGTTTCAAATACAGCTGGAGTTCCATGCTGTATTTGTCTTACTAATCAAACCTCTCAAAGGGCAGCATTCCCAGAGAAGTACTAATAAGGCTTGGGAGGGGTTATTACCTCTAGATAATGGGTTCAGATAAGGGTGGGGCTGATAGGTCCATATTTACTAGAGATAGGAAGAGGAAAGAGAAATTGGACCTTGCAAATTCACACGTGCACTTCAGATAATTTTAAGTTCACATGTGGGTAAACAAGTGACAATTAATGGAGAGCATGTCTGTAAATGTATGTTTATATGTACTTATATGTACCTGGAAAAATGAATACACTGTAGGAGTGAATAGTTAACATGCAACTGAACAATCATATCAAAATGCTGCTGACAGGTAAAGTGACAATGACATGGCTGTCCCTCTCTTCTCTGTCCTTATGGCTGGCAGAGTCTAAAAAAATTCTATTGCTATATTGTTATGTCAGTGGTAATTTATGGAAGAATCAATTTACATTTTCCCATAAACTCAGGGTAGAAATAAGAATGAAAATAGAATTAGATCTTCTAAAGTGGTTCTAATTTAAAATAGTCTAGCCATTAGGAAAAATATATTTGCTATCTTGGATCAGTCACAAATTGGGAAAGTGCCTTTCATAAATACATACTTGGAATTAAAATTGTAAACAGTTATAACCTAAAGTGTCTTGGTAGCCATACAGATGCACATTTACAACAGTAAAAATTATCTTTTTGTTTTTGTTGGTTAGAGTGTAAACTAATGCAACCATCATGAAGACAGTATGGAGATTTCTAGAAATCTGAAAATAGGTTTACTATATGATCCAGCAATTCTAACTCCTGGGAATTTACCCAAAAGAAATAAAATCAGCTTCTGGAAGAATTATCTGTACCCACATGTTTATAACAGCTCAACTCACAATAGCTAAGATATGGAATCAACACAGATGTCCATCAGCTGATGACTGGATAAATTATGGTATATATATATATCATGGAATACTACTCAGCCTTTGAAAAGAATGAAATCCTGTGTTTCACAATGAAATGGATGCAACTGGAGACAATTATGCTTAGTGAAATAAGCCATCACATGTCTTCCTTGATTTGTGGTAGCTAATATACAGAGTATAAAAAATGTAATGTATATGAGCAAAATTGACATTCTGAGATTTGACTATTGTTTATAGACTTGTCTATACCCTTCAGGTAAAGTGGTTTTTCCTATTCACTACTTGTTGAATTTTTTATTTAGTAGAGGGTTAAACTTATAATTATAGAGTGAATTGAAAGTGTATCATTGCAAAAATTAAGAGAAAAGAAGAAGGAGGAAGGATGAAAGTAGGAGAGGGAGGGTATGTAGGGAGAGAAGTATCATTAAACTCTTAAAATTGTATATATGAAATACATGAAATTTATTCCTTTGTATGAATTACCAAAAAGTAAAAAATGTTTAAGATGCCATCTTTTAAAACTAGTGAACTATGGTAAATATATTTTATGAAGATCAAACTGTATGGTTTGTGGACACATTAGCACTATGACATCCCCCTTACCTGAGGATGGGGAGGTGAAAACGGGGTCAGGCTTATGGAAACTCATGAGACATAGATCCAGAAATAAAAGAAGTCTAAGTACTATTCTCCAGAAGTTCTCAGTCCTTTGCTTGGACAATTGTAAGTAAGGGAGTGGGTGAGAAAGGTGATGCAATGATTTGGCTGTGACTTGAATGTGTCCTCCAAAGCTTCATGAGTTGGAAACTTGGTCCCCACTGTGGTGATGTGGGGAGGTGGTGGGACCTTTCAGAGGTGGGGGCTCATCAGAGGTTGTTATTGGCCCTCTCCCTTTGCTTTGGCTTTATGTCTCACTATCCATGTGATCTCTCACTCTTGAAAGTGCTCCCTCACCATGTTGCCGCCAGGTGACTCTCACAAGAGCCATGCTGTTTAGGATTCCAGTAAGCCTGTTTTCTTTTATAAAGAACTCAGTCTCAGGTATTTCACTATCGCAACAGAAAACTGTCTAAGGCAATGGTGGACTGATTAGACTGTGATGATTGTCTGTGGAGACAGGTGACAGGCAGCTATAAGCAGTTGATAGAAACCCATCAAGCATGAAGCAATGGTGCCACAGGTCTTAGGAAGTCTTGAAAGCATCTTGTGCTACAGTACACGGTAAAAGATCTGATGTGCATAAAGATGACTGAATCACGAGAAAAAGCTCAAAGTATGCTTGCTCAGTGCCATTCATGGGTCAGTTTCTTTTCATGTCACCCACCAGGCACTCATTGTTCTTGGTTATGCTGTTATGAGGAGTACCTTTCTCCTCTTCCTTTGATCTTCCTATCTCCAGGTACCAGGGCAAAGCCCTGAGCAGTCTGGGACATTAAGCAGAACATTCTGGTGCCACATCATATTGTAACATTGTGCTTTACACAAAGTATCTGTATACAGAACTACCCACCCGTGACTTTGCCTTCATCTCTAACTTTTCTCTGTCTCTCAGCCTTCCTTGCTCCCTAATATTGCTTTATCCTGTGGCCCACTGGTTGCCAACTCAGGTGCTCCAGGAGCCATACCTAAACATGTCTGGGCCAAACAACACTGTGAGAAAAATTTGGACTGTAGATTTGAGTCTGTCCACCTTCCTTGCCTGTGTTTTTTCAGATATATTAAGGACAAAGATGTATATAAAGGTATGACATCAAGCTTAATTATAATAACCATTTTTATGTAATAGTATATTATAACATCTCTATATATGTGTAATTTGATAATAGTGTAATCCTGGCTACTGATATATTTCTCAAATGGATTATGTATATGTTTTACTTATAAATGGTATATTAGGGGGAAGAAAACTGGTATATAACTTGTTCTTAAAAAATTGGATCCATAATGAAACAAAAGAAAACTTTAATTTGTATTCATCAGTGGTTTTAAATGTTTTTCAACTATGAGCATGTAGCTTGAGATAAATTTAGAATGTTAACAATAGAATTCTGATTAAGTAAAGTGTGATTATGATTAAGTCTTTAAATACAAGAAACAGGTATTTAATGAAATCACAGAAAGAGGAAAATCCAAGTGGATTATGTCAATCATGAGAAGTATTTTATTGACATTTTTGTTTGGAAAATCAACAATTATCATTTTTTAAAATTTAATTTTTAAAATTGACACATAATTGTACATATTTATTATCTACAATATGATTTAGTGCATCAATTGTTTCTATTGATAGGCATAAATTTTTTAGTCTCATATGAACCCCTTTGCAATGTTCTTGCCTTCAGTTAACACTGGAAGAGTCACATTATCATCTCCCTACTAATAACTTCCTTTTACTTCCTCTGATGTATGTGTCAGGAAACCCAAATTTAGCCTCAGCTGATACAGTTCTCAGGCTGATATCATTTTGGGATCTTCTTATCAGCCTTTAGTTGGCTTAGTGGCAGACATTTCATGTTAATGCAGTTTAATGATACAGACTGGAAAAGGGAGGAAGTAGTTTTGCCGAGTTCTGAGCTGAGCAGCCATGGGTTGTCACCATGAGGTCACCACCATCACTTCCACCTCTTGGATACCAAGTCTCCAACTTCTGCTCACGCCCCGTGGTTTCTGTGAAACCTGTTGACATCTACTTGTCTCTGCTCAGTCTTAAAGCCCTGAGTTGTTGCCTGCAGCAGGATCTTCTTGCTGAAGACTACTGCTTTCTTGTTATCCCCCCATGGTATCTACCTTGAGTGACTGTTTTGAGGTTCTGTCTTTGTAAAAAAAACCTGATTCTCATTCTAGGTATGTAACCAAGACTCTGGCCAAGAGCTGCTTGGCAATACTGATCATCACTGGGTTGCAGGGTGGGGCAGAAGAGCTACTATGGATTCCAACTGGGTATAGTGGATGCAAACCCTCTTTTTTACAGCTTGGTTGAGAGGCCTTCATCCTTGGGAGCCTTGACAGGTTCTATGCATCACATTTAATTTGTAAATAAATATATTAGTGTCTTGGAAATCACACCATAGCAGGGCACATCCAACTGTCTCATGTTTTTAGGGACTACAAGGTATAATTTATCTATCCAGTCCCTTACTGTGAAACTTTCAACTTTGTTTTTTTTTTAACCATAGACACTGCTACAGTGATTGTTGCTGTATACATGCCATTTCATCTTAGGAATTTTCAGTTGGCACAATAAAGTGAAGAAAGAAAGATGGCACAGTGTCCAGCAGAAAGATCCCAGGATCAGAGACATGGATTCAAGTCTCTGCTCCATACTTTGAGGTATTTGGAGCATAAAGCCTTTCTGAGATGCAACTTCCTCAATAGGAAAGTGGAAACGAAACTCTCTGCTCTGCTTTTGTGTGTGTGTGTGTGTGTGTGTGTGTGTGTTTTGAGTTTGACCAAAGCTATGAAGTCAACTTAGCTAGGTCGGTCAGCTTTTGGATAATGAAGACCCCTTGTTGGTGTGTTTCTCATTTAACATTTGGGAAGAATTTTCTAAAAGCTTCCATCTATTTATAGTATGATACAATGGAAAGGTAGATCTATTCAGTAATTGAAAACAGCTTGAATTGATTCTTACAAGTGGAGGAACCATAATAGTAAGTGCATTGACAAGGCTCTTATTTACTGTAAAGAGAAATGTGTCATTTGTTAAAGGAAGACAACTTGTCTTTCTGAAGACTGTCACTTCTGGGAGGATATGAAACTAGCACTGATAGGAACCACAAATTACAGAGTTACTCCAATTGTCACAATTCTCTGTCACCAATATTGTAATAAATAAAGGAACAGGGTATTGTGGAATTTTTTTAAAGTCATAGTTGATGTTAGAAATCTATAAATGCTCTTAATTAAGTGGTGATTCATATAGCTCATAACCATTTTGGATGGCTTATGTAAACATAAATAGGATAAGTTTTGTGACATTGGGTAAGGTGCACAGGTCTGAGGAAAGTAATCTCATATAATGGAGAAGTAGATTTGTGCCAGGGGTAGGCACTTGGAAGTCAGAAATGAAAGTCACCGCACAATGAAGAGTATCTCAAGTTCTCCTGACTTCCAGCTCAGTGTGTCCCCCATGTGATCCTAGGATAGTCAAGTGACTGTTTGAGTAGATACTTCCTCTAGATAAACATGGAAATTTTGTTGTCACAATTCTTTTAAATGGTGTTGACTTTGGGTGGCAAACAAGCTGGGATAAGACTTGGTAGGTATTACTTCAGGCAATGATGTCAGCAGTTGTGTGTTAAACAAATAAATTAGAGATTCCTTTAATGCCAATTTATACAATCAGAAACACTACAATCTCCTTTATTTGCTTTGGGCAACTAGGTTTGTGTAACTTCAGGGCCAAGCCCAGAGCAAGTCTGTTGACAAAGATGCGGGCTAATGATAATTTTCTAGCATGGAAAGATAAGTGACATGAACACTGAGAAAGACTTCCAGCCAGTTTCTCCATCCACTGTATGAGGTGGGGGAAGAGCGGCAGGCTGGCAGGCTGGCAACACCTGGATTCTCCACAATGATCTGGTCCCCATGCACTCCCACCCTTCAGATTTGACAGCTCTCTAAATGCTGTATTTAGCTAGGTTAGCAGTGTTAATTATTATTAAGCTACCATTTATAGAGGGCTTCTTATGTACCAGGTGCTCATTTATAGGCCTAGATATTGGTCCTTCATCACTGGTGGGTCATTTTAATCATTTTGCAATGTTTTAAACATGACTTGTAAATAGATTCTGGAATGGATTAGAAGGGGGATTAGAAAAGAACAAACTTGAAAATGGACTCAAATACTTGTGCCTGCATTTTCATAGGGGCATTGTCCACCATAGCCAAAAGGTGGAAACAATCCAAGGTTCATCAATGGAAGAAATGATAAGCATATTGGGGCATATCCATACAATGAAGTATTATTCTGCCACAAGAGGAATGAAGTAATGATACATGCTACAGTATGGATGAACTTTGAAAACACTATGGTGGGTGAAAAAAGCCCAAAGTAAAAAGTCACATATGGCAAGATTTATATGAAATACCCAGAGTAGGAAAATCCATAGAAACAGAAAGCAGGGCCAGTGCTGTGGCATAGTAGGCTAAGCCTCTGTCTGCAACGCTGGCATCCCATATGGGTGCCAATTCATGTCCCAGCTGCTCCTCTTCAGTTCCAGCTCTCTGCTAATGGCCTGGGAAAGCAGTGGAAGATGGCTCAAGTGTTTGGGCCCCTGTACCCATGTGGGAGAGCCAGAGGAAACTCTTGGCTCCTGACTTGGATTGGCTGGGCTCTGGTCATTGTGGCCATTTGGGGAGTGAACCAGTGGATGGAAGACCTTTCTCTATGTCTCTCTCTCTCTCTCTCTCTGTGACTCTGCCTTGCAAATAAATAAATAAAAACCTTAAAAAAAATAAAAGAAACACAAAGCAGGTTGATGGTTGACAAGAATGGACAGGAAGTGACTTTTCATGTACATGGAGTTTTCTTTTGGGGTGATGCAAATTGTCTACAACTGGGAAGAGGTGGTGGTTGTGCAATGCTGTGAATGAATTAAATGCCACTGAACCTATGTTCCATAAATATCATCTCCCTAGTAATAAGAAAGAATAAACCTAGAATAAAATTGAAGTCTGTTTTCCCACACCTTTGTATTTCTCTCTTGCAGCCCTTCTGCCAGGTGCAGTGGAATTAGAAAAGCAGTTGGATTCATCTTATTTGCTTCAGGTCTCAGTTCAAAGGTCACCTCATCAGAAAGGTACGTCTGCCCTGTCTGTAACAGGCCCCCTTGCCCCTTTTGTCCCCTTGATCTTTTGCTTGTCTTTTTAGCACTTTTTACAAACTGACATATATTGTTTCATAATTCTTCTGCCACATCCCAACTGAATATAATCTCTGTGAAATAATAATTTTATTATTATTATTGCTGTATTTAAATGACTTCCAAAAAGAAGTAACATTCTATCATGGCATAGGTATTTTTTGAAGATTTATTTGAAAGCTGGAGTCGCAGAAAGGGAAAGGGAGAGATAGAGATCGAGAGATAGAGAGAGAGAGAGAGAGAGATAAAAAGAGAGAGAGAGAGAGAGGTCTTCCAAACTCTAGTTCTCTCTCTAAATGGCTGCAATGGCTAGGGATGGGCCAAACCAAAGCCAGGATCCAGGAGCTTCTTCTGTGTCTCCCACGTGGGTGCTGGGGCCCAAGGATTTGGGCCATTCTCCACAGCTTGCCCAGGCCATTAGCAAGTGCTTGGATGGGGTGTGGAGTAGCCGGGAATCGAACTGGCCCTCATTTAGTATGCTGGCACTGCAGGTGGCAGCTTAACATGCTACCCCGCAATGCCGGTCCCAGAACTTTATTGTTGTATTCACTATTGTGCCTTAAACAGTGCCTTACCTGTGGGGCTGGCCTGTGGCATAGTACACTAAGCCTCTGTCTGTAGTGCCGGCATCACATATGAGTGCTGATTTGTGTCCCAGCTGCTCCTTTTCAGATCCTGCTGTCTACTGGATCTGCCTGGGAAAGCAGTAGAAGATGGCCCAAGTGCTTAGGCTCCCATACCTGCATGGGAAGACCTGGAGGAGGCTCCTGTCTCAGCTCTGGATCAGGTTGCGGCCATTTGGGGAGTGCAGCAGTGGGTAGAAGACCTTTTTCTATGTCTCTCCCTCTCTCTACCTTTAACTCTACCTCTCAAATAAATAAATAAATAAATCTTTAAAAAAAAAAACAAAACAAAAAGCAACAGTGCCTTACCCAAACATAGATGCTCAAAACATATTTGGTGAAGCAATATATGGATAGTATCTTTTTTTTTTTTTTTTAGCTAGAAACCTTTTATTTAAGGTATACAAACTTCATGCATTTCATATATACAAATTTAGGAACATAGTGATTGTTCCCACCCTACCCTCCCTCCTGCTCACACTCCCACCCTTCTTTCTCCTCCCTCTCCTATTTCCATTTCTAGTTTTTATAAATATCTATTTTCAATTAACTTTATACATACAAGATTAACCTCACATTAAGTAAAACATTCAACAAATAGTATGAAAAGAAAAAAAACCTGTTCCTCAATAGTCAAGACAAGGGCTGTTCAAAATCATCACATCTCAAAAGTATCAATTTCACTTCTATAGCTTACCTTTTAGGTTCTCTATTTGTTACTGCAGATCAGGGAGAACATGTTATTTGTCTTTTGGGGACTGGCTAGTTTCACTAACTAAGTATATGGTTTTATGGATCAGTATTGAATTCTGTTTTTCTTCAATATTAGGCATCTTGGGTTCTGTATTAGTTAGGGATTTCCAGAGAAATAAATGAATATGTTTATACATAAAAAGAGATTTTTTACCAGGTATTGGTTCATGTGATCATATTGTCTGAGAAAACTAGGATCGGCCCAATCAAATTGACACGCAAAGTTAAATATCCCAGATGTCAGAGATTATGCTCTTTAGTTTTGGAACTAAACTAAGGGCCATCTAGTTGGCAAGATGAGACAGATAACCAACAGTTAAATGACAGGGTGAGAGAATAGCATGTTATTGCGGAAGGAAGAATCATCTGAGACCCATCAGATTTCACTTCTAATTATGAATCCTTTACTCAGGAGAGGATTTCAATCTCTCTGGGCCTCGATTTTCTCATTAGTAAAAGTTAGGTGAGACTGGATTGTCTTTCTTTTGCATTCTAAAGTTGCTAAGCACGTATTTGGAGAACAGACAAATACCATGGAGAATATCCCCCTAGGCCAGGCCAGTCCTCTTCCCATACCCAGATCACGTGACAGGCACAAAGAAGAAATTTGAAGAAAATGTTTTCCAAACCTGAAATTGTCTGCTTCGTACACTTTTGTGGCCTGTGATAATGAGGTCTTGTACATTTTAAGCCCTTTGAGATAAGAGTCCTTACTTAGCAAAGTGGTGAGGTCATGAAGTTCAACCTATTGGTGTAAATGTTTTCAAGAAACTTAATTCTGCCTTTTAGAAAATCCTGAAAGCTAATAGGATCCTAAATGGGTCATTAAGTCTGTCCATCAGTGAAAGGTCTGATTGCAACTGATTTCTCCAACAGGAGTTCTACAGATTAAAAACCCCCAAAGGTTTCTCCTGTTTCTAACGATGTGCAAGGCATTTGTAAACTCCAAAAAATATATGAACACGGAATTGGAAGTCCCAGGAGGGACTCTGCTCATCTCTGCTTGAGTTGGTTGACATGGAACAACAGCAAACAGCAACGTCTTCCAAATGAAGGTCAGGGTTCACCTGACTCCTCCCAGAAGCTGGCTGGTGTCAAGACCCTGGGTGTAATTGCAGAAGGCTTTGAAATTTGACAGTGGGGACTTGGCAGGTCTCTCTCTCGTGCAGTGTTGGTACAGGACCAGAGAAGGCCACGACAACAGACAGAAGCAACACACAATAATCTTGCAAAGGAAAAGTCAACCAGGGAAGCACTATGAAGATATTTATGAAAGGCAGGATAAAAATCCATTTAGTGAATTTTCCTTCCAAGCATGATGAAAAAGAAATAATTTTGCCAAACAAAAGCAATTTAAATTCAATTCAACAAACATTGATTGGGCACATTCTCTGGAGTACATACTGTTCTGCTGTGAAAACAAAAATTGCATTGAATTTTACAGAAAGTCTAAAGGTCATGGTATAAATGTGACCAATATAGGAATAATTTTCCTTTTTTAGTTTTTTCTCCCTTTTGGGAACGTTTCTGCTTTCCTCTCACACAGAATGTAATTTTTCCTCTTTCTATATTCTTTTGAAATATACTTCATCATTTTTCACAATACTTTAACTTTTTCTTAAATGCTGTTCCAGATTATTTACATGTATAGATTCATATTATTTTTAAAAATATTATTTCCATTCTATCTATATAAAAAGATATATATATATATATATATATATACGAAGATACTTCTAAAATTCATGGAAAGTGGAATTAAAAGGTAAATTTACTTTGGTGCAAGAATTTTTGGAACCCATTCAGGTTTTTTCACACTGTTGATGTTTCTGTTAGCCTTCTGAAGATCCCTGTGTACAGATAATTTCCCCTCCTCTCTCCTCAGAGGTAGAATTCACTCCCTGCCACCTCCCACCTAGATGGACTCTTTGGCTGAATATTTGATGGAGTTCTTTGCATTTATGTAACAAGCTGAGTGAGAATGAGAATTAGGTTATAATACTCACAATGACTGTTCCACTGTGCAAAGGAGTTAATTTTGCTAGGCCTCAGTTTCCTGTTCTTTAAAATCTGTAAGCAGTAGAGTATGGAAAGGTAACCTGTTGGACTCATTGCTGGGAATGTCGGCAACTCATAGAAAAAAATGACAGTGGTGTGGCAAGGATGGCTGATGGTAGCGTGGCAGTCTGGTGAGTTCTTAGCGTAAATTGAATACTTGGTTGTTTGGGCATACAAGATATAGCGGAGGGATTGTAAAAGACATCTCGGGTTAATGATAAATCTGAGATGCCCTAAGGTAAAATGCTTGAAGTATTTTTATATAGATGTGCTAAAAATGCCTCCTTGCGAAGTCAAATATTCTTTAATGATAAACTGGTGACTTGAATTAATCCAGAAGACTTCAGCACATCCATTGGGAGATTGTTAGAAAGGATACTGGTTACTAGAGGTTGAGTTAGAGACCAAGTTACCCTTGTGAGGACAGGGTTGGTGCCCCATGTTTTAACCACATGACTTCTGAGATGGAATTGCTACAGATTTCACTGAAGGACCCTGCAGAGAGAATAGCATCACCCAAAAGACGCCAGACTGAAACCAAAACAGTTTCAGAAAATAAGAAACTGAAAACAACAGCAACAGAATCTTAAAACACAAAAGCCCAGGCTTAACAACCTTCCTGGAAGTCAAGTTTGTTGTAATCAAATTCATCTGAGAAGCTTCCAAATGGAAAGACGAGACGCTTGCTACTGAACGGCTATTGCAGTTGAATCGGGGTGAACGAGTCATGACAAGCGACACACAAGTTGACTTTGCCCTGTGATAATACCTCACAAATAAGTGTGAATGGGCAGCTCCTTAGGAAAGGTGTCAGATTATGTCTGGGTAAAACTGCTTCCCAGGAGAGTTTTAAATCAGTTTAATGGAGGACCTGGTATTTACGCATAGAGTTTGTGCTCGTTCTCCTGTTCGGTGGAGCATTTTCAATTCTAAAGACTGGCAGTTCCATGAGACTAAAAGACAGGACTTGGAGGGGTATGAACTTTCCAGGTTACTCATTATTTAACTAAGTAGGTGCTACCCAGATGGAGGAAAGTTAATTTGCTTGATCTAAAATTTTACTACTCTGAGATTAATACTGAGTGCTCCAGCCAATGATGCGTTTGGCTAAAGGATCATATGTGTTTGTACAAATGGCACCATGAATAGGCCTTTTTAGGCTTCTATGTCAAAGTGAGTCAGCTCTGAAGGAAGAGCTATTCATTTATGTTTATGCAGTGCGGTACGTTCTTCATGAAGTCTCTCCTGGGGACAACAAAACAGGTCTACCTGGCCAAACAATATGATATAGTGGAAATTGCTGTTACTTTTTTTTTTTTTTGCAATACCCAAACATTCCAATATAGGGTCACTGCCTTATATTAAAGCAAATGACAGCCAGAAATTCTTTTAAAACAAATTGTCATTTGTCATTTGGGGTTTAATGGTTTCATTGGAACTTTGAGTCGTTTTTGCTTTTCTAAGAGTTCCCATCAATTTCTATGGAGGCTGATGGGTTAATAG